TTCCTTGGAGACCTCTGAATCACAGTGATCATCTTTTTATTTTATTTACAATTTGGAACTATCATAAATACATACGGAGAGCCGTGACAGTCCCTTCACACCTTCACTGCCACATTCCTTGTTGAAGTTTGCAGACGGTACATCTGGATTAAAGGCTGTCATTTTGGAAATAAATTCCCATATTTCAGGACAGAGGGTACAGTGATCACCAGCGTTTGCCTGTTGGTCTGTTTGGCTCTGAGCTGCATTACTCAAAAGAAGAAGGATTTGTGCAGTGAACAAATAATCACTCAAATAACTCGCATTATTTTTAATGGAACTCTTGGCAGAAATGTCTAATTTTCTCTATTTTTCATAATGTCTGTGCGGTTAACGATTTCATTTTCTACATATGATACAAGCTCTAATATAAGTTCAGTCGAATGATTTTACATCTCTCTGTGGTAAAATAATTCCCTTTCCAATTAATCAAGTTATTCCAAATCTATTCTAATCTGATCCGAAATGTAAAACAAAAACATAACTTAAACAACCGTATACATTTAGATAAATCCTCAGCCCAAATATAATCAATTTTCCATTCATGCCCGATTCAAAGGAAAAATCCAAATAACCAGAGTGATTTCAGGGTTTCTCTTGATGTTTTTTTTCTTCTAAAGACATGTTCCTCCCTGGTGCACTTCGGCAGTCAGTCACCTTGATTAACTGCATTTAAAGACCCTTTCAAGTGCAGGGGTCAGCTCCACCATTTAAGAAATCAAAATTGCTTTTTGGAGAGCCCTTGGTCCACTGGGGCAGCAGCTTTTCACTTCATGTTTTTCCGCCCCCTTTCCACTTGGTCTCGCATGTGTTTGTGTTTTGAGAGGAATGTAAGGGTGAACCGGCCTTGCAGCTTCAGTCCTGTAGTATTGTCTTGTACCAAACACACACACATACACACACAGCCCCGGAGCAGATTAAATGGAAGTGAATATTGTAGTTCTACCGCTGTGCCTCCGATCAATGTCTTTGAGAAAGCTTTGAGAGGAGTAATTGAATCATCTGGCCACAGTTATCAGCCACCGTTAGGCTATCGTATACTGCGGCTAATTGAATTTGAAGGTGTGTCGTTTTAGCTGCACATAAGGCTCAGGCAAAAGGGTAACTCTGTCTTTTGTTATAAAATAATCCCCAGCTCTGCTCAATTGTACCCACAGAACTCTTTGTGCTAAGTAAGTTTTAATCATTTTGTTCAACAACCAATTCTCCACAACTATAGTCAACAAACTAATCAAAGTACTGATAATGCATTTCCCAGCCCTGAATCAAGATTAGTTTTCGATTATACCAAAGTAGTTGGTGCTCTTCACTGTTAAGGGGCAAGGGGAGGGCGACGACCAAAGAGCAGCAATCTTTGAGTGCTAGGTCTATCCACTTGTATTGGTGCTCTCCCATTATTAGTCCAAGTATTTGTAACAAATAGAGTTATTTAAATGGTACATGTTATCTTTAAAGCAAGGGTATAAAACGTCTCCCTTCTCATATGTATTACATTGTTTTGTCCCTACAAAAAAAAAATCTAGTCAAATGGAAATATTGAGAACAAAACAGACAACATACTGTCTTTATTGTATAAGAACATGATTTATATCTTGTATACTTATAAGCCAGAATGAGGATGGTCCTCTCGTTTCACTTTTCTGTCTGAAAAAGCTGAAGGATGCCAACAACGTGAAAAGGGATAGAACCAAACTGTTTTGAGAGCAAAGAACAAGTTGGATCGGTAGATGGGATTTCATGGTTCAGTTTTGTGTGGTTTGAGATTCAGGTCCCCCAGCATTAAGTCTTTGTGTAAGCATTATGCAACAGTAAGTGCTAATGAGGGGGCTTGAAGCTGCAGATGATCTCATATTGTATATTGTATACTTTAACATAATAGAATGTACCTGTCCCAAAAAGTTATCTGAATATTACTTCTAACTAATAGAAATACTTTATGGTGTGCATTGGTTACATGTTTGTGTTGGTGACGTTATGATTTAAGAATTACATAATAACAAAGGGACACAGAGTAATATGTAAATTCACATTTCTAAGCTTTTAACAATGTCATGTTGCTGTGTTTCATCAATGGCTTATGCAAATATATATTTTGATTGAATCTTGCCTTTTTTAGGAATCATGTTTTATCCTGCACTTGCGGCCTGAGTGCTACAACCATTCAACACCCAATAAAAAGCCACATATTTCTCCAGTAGCATAATTGTAATAGATACTGCAAGTTTTAATATTTGATGATCCAACAAAGTGTGTGCCATGCTTCTCCTGCCTCTGTGTGTGCGGAGGTGACAGCCGGAGCACAGCGCACGGTGCCGCGGGCTGCACAACAGGGAAATTGCATTGTGATCTGCCCTCTTCTGTGAGTTGTGTTCTACAGCTGGCTATTGTGTCTGGCATTTGCATCAGGCCCATGAAATCCAACCCACAGGCTTTATATGCAGCTGATGAGACAACAGTGAGACCTGGAGCTTATCGGTTGCCACGCTACGGCTAGATCGTCTTTATTATGCCAGTCTACAAAGCTGTGCCACATTTCATTTTTAAATTGAAAAAAAAGTGGATGCTGTACAGGCAGATTCGGTATGACTTCAAAGTGCACATAAGAATGCATCCCGATCAGGAGAAGCGTGGCCACTGCAGGTGAAAGGAACTGGATTCATTGTGCACCTGTTTGGGCTGTGAAGGCTCTGTATCAGGCAACTATAGTCCAGACTTCAAAGTAGATGTGTTTGAACTTGACACATATGCTTTAAGGATTTGAGTTAGTGGAACAACTGTTGTGACAATAAAAGACTATAGAATATACCAACGGAGATTTGGATTGGCTGTGTTTGATATCTGTGTAAGTATGTAAGTGCAACCCCGATTTTTTCATTTTTAAAAGAGGGAGTATAAATGTATCTTGTTCACATCCATCACACACTCTTATAAACATAGTGAGTGCTAACCAGTCTGCATCTGCTGCCGTTATCATGAGCATAGCATTTGGTCAGCCCTCTCAAGCTGAAATAAGAATATGTGATAAACTTTTTAAGGGATAAATGTAATCAGCTCCAAGCTCAAATTGTGTCTTTTCCTTGGAGTTAAAAGTGTGATGTGTATCTATTTGAGCGTGTAAGTCTGGGCAGTTCTCCATTGAACAACCTTATTGATGTTTTCAGGGTTTGCCTAAAATGAAAATTAAATGTGATTTTTTTTTTTGTAAATTCCATGGACTTGTGATTGACTAATGACAAACTGTGTGTTTTTTGTAGTACCAGGAAAGTCCCAGTGAGAATTCAGAATGTATTTTTTATATTTTGTATGTAGTGGTAGAGGAAACACATACAGACACAGGAAGCACATGAGAGAGGTTGCTGTCTGGAGGTTGAATTGAACCCACATCTTTGTTGCTGAGAAGTGAGAGTGCTAACCACTCAGCCACCGCGCAGTCACTATTTTCCTTTAAAAAGTGAATAATAGACTGAATAATTAACTGAACCTTGATTAGAAACAAATGTACTTGATCTGTGCCTCCCATATCCCTGCAACAAACTAATAAAACTAAAAGTGGCTCAGAAGCATGAAAAAAGGGATAAAGTTATTTGTAATGATGTAATATGTGGCTTGGACACAAACTGTGGCGGTAAGAAGCCTTTTGTTGTCAGTTTGACTGAGGATTGGTCCTGTGTGTATTTGTCATTATGTGTGTGCTGAAAGGGGAGGGCAGACAGGGCCGTGCAGACGAGTCCCAAGGGTGAACGACCTTGTCCCGGCATAATACCACCGCCATCACCAGGCCATCACCAGGCCATCACCAGGCCAGCAGATAGACTCCTCTTTTCAAAGAAGTGCTGTGTCCCTCCACAAACGGCAGTCACCATTGATTGGTCGCTGGCCTGTCTTAAGAAATACATCTTAAACTAAAACAAGCAAGAACATGTCTGTGAAGAGAACTCACGGAAAAAGAAACACGTTTTTGAACAGTACAGAATTTAGAGATAACCGTTTACAAGAGGCCTTCTCCAACAAAGACACTGATTATAATGATGACTACAATCAACTTGTTTTCATAAATGTATAACCCTCACCTATAATATTTTGTAGTGAAGTAAAGAAACATTATTTTCATATTCAAACAGAATAGTGTTCTTTGTCTGAATGATTGTGTTTTGAAACGGCAGGGTTTTTATGGTTGTATTTATCAAGGATCAGCATGAAATGCTGCAGTGCAATGCCATAACTGTTACAGTCCTTGCATGGAATTAGAAACACCACATTAAACTAAGTTAAGTTTCACTTTATTGTCCCAAAAAGGAAATGTATCCTCTTCTCTGATCAGTGATCCCTGTAGCACAGCGCCCAGAGATCCATCCGCAGAAAGCATGGAGGACTTTATCTATTGTACTGTGATTTAAGAGGAAGGGTAAACCCTGGAGCACAGGGAGAACATGCAAACTCCTCTTAGAAAGGCCCTGTCTGGAGGTGGAATCTAACCCATGTCCTTCAGGCTGAGAAGCGAGAGTGTTAACCACTCAGACACTATGCTGTCCATTATTACATTACATCTTTGCTTCATCCGCTGAATATAAGAGATTTAGCTGTTTAACACTAGTGTTGCATTGTCTGCCTGTGTGTGTGTCTCTGTGTGTGTGAATGTGTGTATGTTTCTGTTTGTAATGCTGTAGAGTGGCAAGCAAACATTAGTCATACATGATATGTTACGTCAAACTTTCTATTCCAATCAAACAGTGCACACCAGACTCCTCTCAGGTTAGGACTGTCTGGTTACTTGCTTATTTGGAATGAAAACCTGCAGCCACAGCAGCCCTTTGAGGACCGGTTTTACACCTGTGCTACTCATCATTTCCATATGACATACCATCTATGTTGCTTTCTTTCTGTGTAATGGTTCTCTCTTTCACACGCAGAAATGAGTGTGTTGGTAACACTGTCTTCTATGTGTCCCTACAGAGAAGCCCATGGCGCAGGGGCCCCCGGGCGGAGTCATTGGGGTCCTCGGAGGGGTGGTGGCCATCGGTCTCATCATTGGAGTGGGGGTGACTGTTTTCATGGTCCATCGGCGGCAGCAGAAGACTCGCACTGAGACAGATAATGACCTGTGAGTACACCGCCTCACACTCCTCACTGCCCTGATCTGGGCAGATGGAAGATCAGCTTTGCTTCTGTCGCCACTCGAACAGACAAACAGTCCCAAACCGTTTTCAATATATTAGAGCAGGCACTTTCTACCCACTTGTCGTACTTAACACTACTTGATACTTGCTTGACTATGTTGACATAATGTTTGTTCATTTAATTCAACAGTTGAGCACATGGTTTTGTGAACAATTTTAGTTTTCTTCAAAATAGCTCAGGTAGCACAGTGATCATACCAAAGTCATAGTACCACCAATCCTCCTGAATTCCAGGCATCTGTGTGTCTGTTATCCAGGAGCCATGGCAGTCCAAGCTCTGCCAAGTGTAAATGCAGAGAACAGACGTTACAAAGTCACAGTGAGATGACAAGCTACATATCTTTTTACGTACCTTGTTTTATATAAATCTTATACAAGTCTGTACCATCTGCTGATAAAATTAGAGACAGTTCTGTAGCAAGAGAAAGAGAAAGACGATGTGAAAGTATTCACATCGTATGCTGATCATTTCCACCTGGCTCAGAACCGGCTGGTTGTCTCTTAGTGAATGCAGGAGCTCACCCCCAGGGGAATGGTCCTATAGGCTCTGCAGAGGACCACCACATCCAGAGTGTCTGAAGAACTTCTCTGTATTCCACTGATGAAACTTCAATGCTTCAATTAGATGGAGTCCACATGGATTTTGAAGATTGATTTGCAATTTTGAGCAGTGATGGAACATTTTTACCATGAACAAAAGATAATTGCTTTTCTCACAGTGCAGTGGACACATAAAACATGTGCATGAATGTTGGATGAAAAGATGTTGCTTAGAAACACTGACATTTGTGGTGTTGGGGCGGAGCTACACTTCAGACCTGTGGTCATTATGTTCCACCTCCAGATGTAATCCGGATGCTCAGATGGGAGCACTCAGCACACTTCTCAGAGCTCTCAGGAATGCTTTTCAAGACAAATGAGTCGCACACAGTCGTACGTCCCATCTCTCTTTGTCTGTTCCCCCTGCGCTCTAATCTGTCTCTCTCACTCTGCTGCTGTCTTTCCCTCAGCACTGCTGTGGCGGCTGTGGCTGATAGTTGTGTGACACAGGCTCCAGAGAAACCCGAGTCCCCCACCAGGAAAGTAGAGAGCCCCGACCCCCGTGTCTCCCCCGCTGACCCCTGTGCTCCTGGATCTATTCTGTTACCTGCATGTAACGGCGGCGTGCAAGTCACTTATGTCAGCACGCCGCTGTGAGCACACAACGCCGGAGATACTCGCTCTTAACCTCGAAAAGGACAGTTAAAGGATATACAATTTATACCATGCAGTACTGTGCAAAGTTCTTCAACCAGTATTTACATCATGAAATTCTACCGGTCTAACAATTTTACTCAAAGAAACTTCACTTACTTCAAAATGTGAAGAAAAATAAATAAAAAATTGCTTGAATTTGGCAAAATGTATCTAAATTTGAGTGCATTTTGACTGCCTTCAAACAAGATGAAAACAAGTAAAATGATCTTCTTTTGAAAATTTACAAGAAATGTCTCCATTGGAATGAAAAACATAAACCAGCAGCTCTTGAAATAACTAAATAGACTAAATGGCTTGTCTTATTGGCAAATCTTTTTTATGACAGTTTTATGTTTTATGACAGCCAGAGTGTACTCAAATTAAGATAAAAACCCCTCGATTCAAGCAATTTTTACCTAATATTTTATCATTGTTTGCAGTAAAAATCACCACTTTTGAAAACTGATATTTGTACAGTACTGTCAGTAATATTTATGCTACACTCTATGTGCCAAAACTATATGAAATCACTGTTACATAATCTCCACAACAATAATGTACATCCAATCCTAAAGTGTGCATTTTGTTATTGGATCAACATATCAATTTGCAAATCAGTGGGAATGCCTGAGCTCATAACGGCTTTGCTTTCCCATGCAGCTCTGACGATAATGTCTTTTTGAAGGGGACCACATTGTGCAGCCTCTGTCCTCTGGCTTGTTCTCGCTCCCTCCCTCTGTGTGCACGATTATTTTCACATATGCATGACAAGAGCTGTGGTTTTTAATGTGCTTTTGGCAATATTGTGAAATTGTTCAAATGATTTTTCTCTTCATTTGTCAAGTTTAGTGTCTTATTTTGCCTTTTTTGTTGTTGTTGCTGTTTCTGCCTGTGATTTTGCGAGCGCTTTCAATGTGAATGCCCATGTTGTTGTTTTTGTTTTTTTTGAAAGAGGTATTGGCTGCGTTTTCTCTGGTTGAAAGCAGAAGGGAGACAGTTTAATTCTGCATGTTGATGAGCCGTTAATCAGGCTTGGGCATTTGATAACATGGCTGAGTGCACCGCCAGTCACGCCCGTGTTTGCCCTCACGCTGCAACACATGATGTGACTCAAAATTGGTCAATCCTCATAAATCACATGCTCTTTAGAGGCAGCACTGGCGCAAGTACTACTCATTATCAAAATAGATGGCCGGTGTCAAAAGCAATGGTTTCAGAATAATGTGTTCATCGCTCCATCTTGTGTCCAACTGTGATGTATAGCCTACAAAATGGTATAAAACTGCCAATCTCCGCACTGGTTTCTCTGCAAAATAAATTCATCGTGTCAAGTTCACGACATGCAGCTACTGTTGACACGGTGAGAAAAATGGGGCGGTGTAATTCACTCCGATGTCAAACTTCACATGGATTGATTTTGCAGCGATGAAAAGCAGAGTCACCACATGTCAAATGTAGAGACTTGTGAAATTGTATAGTCGTCGTCAAAAATAAAATAAAAAGGCATGTCAGTTCTACACAAATGGAGAATGGAGCGGAGACCATTCAGGGGCTGTATACAAATAAGACGAAATTGCGATAAATTGGATGTTTACTGATCGAGAAAAAGAGGAGGACATACCTGTTGGAGATTTTGAGACTTGATGTCAACTGAAAACCTTCAACGACCGAGTTTATCTGTATACAGTATCATGAACCGGCATGACGCTGATTCTTAAGTTTCTTTACAAATACTAGTGCTCACAAATTGTAATCTAAAGAATGATGTAAGCCATATAGAGAATAAGTCATGAAATCTATTTTTTGAAAATACAGCGTTTTATTTGTAGCAATATTATGAGAGAGAATGTTGAAGAATGATCTGAGAGTAAAACATATATGTCACTTCCAAAACCTCTTTGTCCTTTCTGCACTTATTTACAAAATGTATAATTTATTTATCAAACATATATTTAGCTTTCAAAATGTTTGCTCTTTCAAACTAATTTGTCATTTTGAATTAAGTCATAAAAGTGCCCCTGGTGCAGACCTGGCCAAACTGCAGGGATGGGTGTCACATTTTTATTTGTTCCCCAGTCCCTTCCAGGTAGAAAATAGAATATTAAATATTGAAACAATGTTTTCAAATGACTGTAATGTTGTACAATGGCCGATCTACAAACACAAAGAAAACAGTGCATATCTTGCCTCCATGAGTCCCTCTGCTTATTTTCTTTCATTATTTTTGCTTATCAAATAAATTGTTGTAACATTTTATAACCAAAGTAGTTTTCACATAGAAAAAAAAAAATCCAAATGAAAATAAAAATGAAATCACGTCTGGCCCTCTCCTCGAGTGAATATAGTTGCCGACCCCTGCTTTGAGTTTGGAGGGATAAATAATAAATTGTGTTGGCAAATGAAAAAAAACAGTTTGTAAGAGCAAATTTGTGCTTTTAACGAATGTGCAAATACAGTTAGAAAGAAAATTTACATTTTGAAATAGAAAAAGAGACGTACATAAAGATACAATGTTTTGTGAGTGAGAGTCTATGATTGTGTATAATTCTAAGTCTATAAGTCTCATAACATTGGCACAAATACAACGCCATACGAATAATGTCCGGGACTTTTGTTGTACGTTTATTTTTCAAGCTGTAACCAAATCAGATTGTGTTCGTTCGTGGTTAGTATGCATGATGGGTGTTCATTGTTTCATGCAGTAGCTACTTTATGATGTAAATGATGCAGATTAGTTGAATGTGTTCATGTGGTTCAGCCTATCAAAGTGTAACTGTTGCAACTATTGTTCTAGTCTGCAGATGTCTTCACATATCACCGCTAATGTACAAATCAAAATCTCAACTGTGTCTTTAACATCATTTTGATAAAAGAAATGAATAACACATTTTGTTTCCTCAATTTGTTTTTTAATATGAGAACAAAGAACATCAGAGACGGAGCTTTTTTCGCACAACACCGACTCATTAACATTGGATCCACTTATCTCAAACGGTAATTAAAAGTGTAATTTGCATTTAAATTACCGAAGAATATCTAGATCGACACAAAAAGAAAAAAAGTCAATACACGTGCCAAGGACCATCCTGACTTCTGCTCGTCATCCGCCACGGGAGATCTGGCAACGCCCACGTCACTTGCTTGTGACGATGTCTAAACAGACAATCATTTCCAATTTCATCTTCGAATGATAACCGTTCGGCTCATTTTTTTTTGCCACAAATCTCAGGACACACAGATTACACTTCTCACTTTGAGGATTAGTTCTGTTTTTCTCGCACTATCCCCTGTTAAATCTTCCCTTAAGCCGTCTTGAACCTTTTGTATCCAGTCGAGCGAGAAGGGCTGAGCAGGACGGCGCCGGGTTCTTTAGGTGGAAGTAGAAAGAGAGAGAAACATGGATGTGATTGTGTGTGAGTGTATGTGTGTGCGTGTGTGTGTGCGTGTGTGTGTGGGTGTGTGTTGTGCTCCCAGAGGCTCGTGCGGCCTGTCAGCTCCCATTAGAGCGTGTGTGTCACCGCGGCCCACACCCACACACTGCTCTGCTCAGACACGGTATGACCACAGCGAGGATAGAGGAGAAATGTAGCCAGAGCAAGCGTTCAAAATACAGAAACAATAAATGATGCGGGAGGGAAATGTAATTACGCCTGTCGATGAAAACGAGAAGGCTAAATTGTCTCGGCCATTTCCTCAGAGAAATCAAAATGAACGGTGATTTAAAGTGTGAGGTCAGTTAACAAGACAGCCATGTGTGTTGTCATCATGCAACTGCACTTGGTCTGCCCTGTACTGACACGTGGAGAACATGCAAACGCCACAAATTCTACACCTTCAGGTACATTCCAACATATACTTTTGATACAGCTCTGGTTGAAAGTTTACACACCCCTTTTATCACTCAGTGTTTGCCTTGTTGTGTGAAGCCATTTTTATTTTCAAACAAATTCAGATATAAAAGTATTTTCTATTTTCAAATTAACACCTGATAGAGTCGCTCTGAAAAGTTCTCAAAGATCTAAAAAGTTCCAGCAAGGCGGCCCAGGGGAATTTACAAGAACATCAGGCTCTTTTTGAAGAAGAATCGGCAGCTTTACCAACAGAGAGGAGAAAGAACCTCATCCACAACTTCTAAAAAAGACATGTTAAAGGGGATGTACTATAGTGAAGAACTGGGGGATGGAAACTTCTAATCAGGGTCATTTGGGTAGTTTCTGTTGTCCTTATAATTTGAAAGCAGAAAACACACCACACAGGCACTAATAATGAGACAAATATTTCTGCCTGGGTGTGTAAACTCTAAAGTACAGCTGTATTTTGAGAGAAGTATGTTAATTTGTCATATTTTTTCAAAAGTTAAATTAATTATAAGTATAGAGCTGAGGCCTGCAGTGCCTTCTTACCATATGGCACGATCAGAAGTGCACACCGGAATGGTCGTCAGCTCAGCACAAAGTCTTTGCATTTGTGGAACAGGCATCTGGTAATTATATCTTCAGTCATGAGGTTGTACGTGCACATCTGGCAGGCTTAACAACCTTCTATTATTACTGTTATCATAAAAGAATGAAACGGTTTGACGTTTGTTTCTCCTCTCTGCGATCAAGTCTTTTTTGATGTCAGAGAGCAGCCAAGTTAGTGAAAGAGGCGGGACATGAGAAAAATACTACATGGTACTACAGGTCAAAGCAAAGTTCACCTTTAAGCGAAATGCGAAAAGACCTCTGCATATTCATGTTGGACTCTCAAGAAAAAATAGCTTGGGCGCCCTCGGTAAAGATAATTAAAGATTATTTTTATGGCCATTGTGAAAAACAGGAGGTCAAACACAAACACACAACACGAAATTCTTTTTGGCTAACAATGCAAACAAGTTATAGAAAAGTCAAATGAAAAATTATATAAAGGCATACAATTCGAAACATAAATACAAGGTCCTTACGCATATCCTCAAAGCCGAACGTTCAGAGCATAGTCTACTAAAGAGATCCGTTCAAGATACTTCCCCTTTAATTGCAATCAGCATCAATTTAACCAAGAAAAACATTCTGATTCAGGAGGGATACAAAAAAACGCAGATTACACAATATACTAAGGCCACGCTATAAGGTTCTAAGTTTTGCATCTCTTTTGTGTGTGGGAGTGGAAGCCTTGCACATCGGAGCGCACACTTCTCTCCCCAGCTGTGCCACTGCAGCCCTGTCTGGAGACAAGGTGATGTGGAGTGGAAATAATGAGCGTGAAAGAAGAGTTAAGAGATGCACTCATGCACAAATTTTCTGCATATTAAATTGCGAGCTTGGCCTTGCAGAAAGGTCATGTTATTCAATAAGGACGTGAATGAGGGCTGGAGCGGCCTGCAGATAATGCGCGTACGTACACAGACAGAGCCGATGCTATAAATGATTGTGTTTGATTACTCCTGATGACTTGCCAGGAGTTTACATGACATCTGACGGCTGAATGTGTCGAGGAACGGATATCGTAGCTTTGACGAGTGTGTCGGAATCAATTAGCTTTCATACGGAATTCAAAGTGGCTCATTATGAACACAGCTACCATTGTGTTTTAATACAAATCAAGTCAACGGGAAGGAATGATTGGATGTGGTTAGCAAGACTGTCCTTTTATTTTCATTCTAGTTCAAGATTCATTATAGGCAAGGCAAGTTTATTTGTATTGCGCAATTCGTACACAAGGCAAGTCAAGGTGCTGAACAGAAAAAAGATAGAAGCAGTCACACAAGGCATTCAAATAGAAATTAATAATAATGGTGTATTAAAAATGTAAAGATAAAATCCTTAGGTTGTGTACAGAGCTAAACAGAACTTTTTTTAAACTTTTTATCTGGATTCATCATTATAAATGTAAAGTAAAGGTGCACTTTATTGATCACTGTAGGGCAATTCATCCTCTGCATTGACCCATCCTGATGCCACTGAGGCTTACGTCAGGAGCAGTGGTCGCCGTAGTACAGCGCCTGGGAACCCATCTCCTGGTGTTGATGCTCGGCTTGGTCAGGACCGGAGCTGGAGGATTTAACCTAGTGAGCATGTTTTTAGTGGTAGGGGAAAGCGGAGTACATGCAAACTCCACTCAGAAAGACCCCGTTCCGACTGGGATACGAACCCAGGACCTTCTTGGTGAGAGGCGAGAGTGCTATCCACTCAGCCACCGTTCCGCCCAACGCCCATTGCATTACATTTTATTACATTGTATAGCAAAGAGCAATCAAATAAAGTGTGAGCTGTATGTGCCATGAGCGCTTCTAACACAAATTTCTTTAGCTCAGGGTAAACTTTTTGCCGATTTTGGCATCCATGTAACGTTGCAAGACAGTAACAGATACACAGAGACATTGATTAGACTGAATGTGATATTGCAAGAATAATAGATTCATTTCATCAACAATAACTTGACCAAAAAAGCCTAAACGTTTGCCCCTCCTCTTGCTTGTTACCATAAAAATAGTCCATAACAGATAGATAGATAGATAGATAGGTGTCCAGTAGCAGCAGAAACACATCCATACAAACAAAACAAATAAACACATCATTCAAAAAGTAGCTAACAAAATGCATACAACGATTTCGGTCACCGCACTCTTTCTTTAATGTAACATAAAACATTCCAATCTCCATGTAGAAGTTTGGCCTTAACTTCCTAATTTTGCAGAATCATGCCGATGTTCCATTTTTGTCTTAAATAAAAGTGAGTTGTAAGACATATCTGTGTGTGCCTCCGCCCGTGTGCCACTGAGAGCATGAAAACCAGCGCCAAAACAAGAGGCTTGTTAAGATGTGGTGAATGTGGCTCTTCTCAGCTCGTGTTGGCCGGCTGGTCTTAGTGGACAACATGTTTTGAAGAGGATGTAACTCACCCTTCTCCCTATATCCCCCTCCCCACCTCAGTGTCCAGTCACACCCAACTCTCATTAAGCACAGTCTCTCTTCACAAGAGCCTTTCAAAGGGCAGGGGGCAATGGCTGCTGCTGCCACCAACTCCTCCAGATCTTTCAAAACCAGAGGAGAAAGAGTGACCAGGCAAGTGCAGGCAGGACTTCTCATTATAGAGGGCTGTGGACGGTGAGCTTGACGAGCGCAGAGCCGTGCTGTGCTGTGTGTCATGTTATCTCCTCAATGTCTTAACAGGACCGACCTCCCACCTGCACACAAGCCCGCCCCACCCCCGCCCAAGAAGAAGAACAGCGACATGAAGGGCCACTTGACTTCTGACGACATACAGGTATGGAGTATATTTGTCTGCTACTTTGTGTCCAATTTGTTCTGCAAATGCATTCAAAGGGTCTCTCTGTCTTATGTTAATTATTGTATGCATTCTGGAAGAGAAAGAGATTCCATTCATCGATGAGGCAGTATTGTTTCTGTCTTGATAATAAAACAAAGTGAAACTGGAGTGACCACATATACAGTGATGTGTATGATCTCCATGTGCATTCTGATGGAGATTGCTAATGTTTGGGAGGTATTCAGTTCACTGATCATTTGTTCGCTGTACTAACAATCACCAAACACAAAGAAGCAAACAAAAGTGTCTGGAGCACTGATAAACAGATCCATTCTATTGTCTAACATTTCTCACAGCGGAGTTCCTGCGGGTGGAAAAACCAAATTTTTAAATAAGATGTCTTTATTTTTGCATGCTTTGATGAGTGTTATTGATTGATAAAAAAGCTGTTTTGTCTTTATTGCCACATGACTCTAAACTCAGCTGTTGTTGTCGGTGGGATGTCTAGACATGTGGCTGTTGCTTAGCAGCAGGGTTTTAACATCCCCTCAACAACAAAGCCCGGGAGTTCTCACTTAAAATGGGGGACTACGAAGAGCCAGTTTGTATCGCTGCTCTGTGTATATCATGTACAGTTTATCCTAACTTTATTAAACAGGCGCCGTTTCTACTGATTTATAGCTTGTTGTTGTGAGGAGAAGATGAGCTATGTGACACTTGAGATGAAAGCTATAAACCCGGTACAAAACCTGTTCTGGAGACCTTGGAAACGTTGTGAATACACTCTGTTGAGGTGGAGTAAACGATATGAAAAGTACGATAAACAAACCAGAACTGTTTTACAATTATACTGTGGTTTATTCATTTTAGTAGCTGTTTACATAAACCATCACCCTCAATGAGAAGATCACTACACATGTTATAGACAGCAGTTTCTCAGGGCAGTCCTTTCCACTTTCCAAACCGATCACAGGTCTGATATTTAAAACAACATGTTTGACCTGATCCTTTGGATGTAGAATGATCTTGCACATCTCTAGGCATTCTATCAAAAACATCACAACTACACTTTTGGCACATCCCACCTACCATCGACTATACACACCAGATTTCAGCTCAATCTGTCCAGAATTGTTTTGTTGCAATCCTGCCTACAGACATACAGACAGACAGCCACACGGACACGGTCACAATACCCCTTGGCGCGGCAATAAACAGAGTCTCCATCTGAGAATTTGAGAGTTGAGGCCGTGTTTCTTTTCAGAGCACAATGAAACACTTTTTTTATTCACTCTTTCACTCCACTTTAGAAAAACAATGAACTACTTGCCATGTGGAGGGATTTGTTATAAAACGAGTGAAGACACATCCCAAAAGCTCTTTATTTTCCTTCAAGTCTTGTCTCAGTAACATGAGGCAAACATCTGAATAAAAACTGTGCCGACCAGATTTGCGCACTCCTCATGAGCCCCAGTTCACATGCAATAAGAACAATATTTTTTTCAAATTTTGGGGGATTTTTACGTTTAACTGCAGTGTTTTTTGTTTTTTTTTGGTCGCTAGTGGCATCCTTTTATTTTCAACTGGTTTTGCCATTGACACCCCTGTTAGTTTCACACATAACACTAGGGTTGGGAGGCTTCAATAACTTCCGATCACGAGACCAAAAAATATATATATATTAAAAAAAAAACATGAGGTTTGAAAAGGAAAACACTGTATAATAAAAAAAAAATAGCTAATAAAGTACATACAATTGGTGTATTGAAAAGTTTCTCACTTCTACAAGACAACTTTTTATTCTATCGTATTTCTATTTCACAGGGACATTATTTTCGTCTGCAGTCCCGTGGTGATTTGGTCCATTTCTAAAGCATAAAGCTTAAAGCATAAAAGTAATTGTCACTTATCATAATCAATATAATATTCTTATCAATCTTTTCTATACCGACCAGAACTGCAAATTATTCACAGTAAGAAATATGATTCTATAACTCCATATTTTTGACAAAACTGACACATCAATTAGCTGCGCGGCAGGTTTTAAAAAATGGTTTCTCACAAAGGAAACAATAGCAGCTTACCTTGCACCTACTTATCCTCCATTAGGTGCTGTGCTGCTCAAACTTCATCAACGTATGAATCATGCACCTGATGAAGAGCTTTCAACAGCTGGATGTGGCAAAATACAGCCTCCACATGTGACATAACTTACTGGATACGGAAAGGTGTATTCATTAACACCAAAGGGACTGGACTGTGACAAGAATAACTCTTATCCACCACCTCAGGCTCGAAAGAGGAGAGCACTAATGAGAACACGTTAAACATAACCATAGAGATTAGGATGAATTCTTTTTTAGACCCAATAACAATATTCTGAAGACATTTGCTGATGCTGAAAATACAGAATTAATTAACGTAGAATGATTATAATAAACGATAAACAGTTGCAATAGATTAATCCATTTGTCTATGTTTGCTGCACCACACTCCAAACAACTTTTTAATGTATTCTTTATAAAGCTCGATATCTTCTAAACATGTTGAATTCAGTCATCTGAGATTTTGAAAGGCTATGGACCCAAGATTGAGCGTAACACACTCCTGGCTCTATACAGGCAAAATATATGTTTGTTCATTTAATACTGCTGTAGCAGGACTTTCCATTCCAGTTGTCCACTTAGTATAAACTGTATGTACTCTCTCTTGCACGGTGAAAATGCAACATATGAATGTCCAAATAAAGGTTGTTCAGAAAAATATTTTCAAAAGATTCAAAAGAAGACAACATCAAAAAACTTCCCATCTTTATATTCAAGGTCTGATAAACTTAACAACTCAAAATAAAAAAGCAATCAAACCATCACCATCACCATAGAGGCAGCTGCTGTAATACTTGCAATGCTTATTTATTATGATCATTTTAGTATTTTAGAGTTATTGTTCACTCTGTCCTCCCTGTTCCTACTGTCCTGTAACTGCTGTTGCAACATTGAAATGTCCCCACTGTGGGGTGGATAGGCTCTTTCTTAAAGGTTTATAGGAGGATTTTCTACTTCCGGGTGGATCATCAAGACTATTGGTCCTCCCAATTGTCAATCATTCTGGTGGTTCGTGCTCATCTAATAAGACCAAAGAGTTTTACAGTATTCAAAAAGTGGGGAGGACGGTTCTTTCCTAATTTTTGTCTAAATCCTCCTATATACCTTTAATATATTGATAAACTCACGCTAAAGATAGATTTTATACTTGCTTCTTTTCATGCTAGAGTGTACAGTTTTTTTTCATTTTTCTTGTGCTGTGTGCTCCTCATTCCTACTCTTCTGTAACTTGTAATACAACACTGACATTTCCCCACTGTGGGACGATTAAAGCGTCCCTTTAACTTAATCTTAATCTTAATCTTAAACTGCATATGGCTGTCACCGGTGCAGGCGCATAAGACAAGAGAGACAGTCATGGTTGCGGTGAACGATGAGCTAATGACTGGCGGCTCCGTGCGGCTCCTAACTGGCCTGAGCTGAGCTGTCGGTGTTCTCTGTAGGTGGTTCGTCTGGACAAGGAAGAGGAAATGCAGAAGCTTCCTCTCCAGCCCCCTTATTACGACATGGCGCCCTCTGAGTCCACAGCCTTCACTGATATTGTGGTGAGTAGAGCCGCCGTGACGAGCCCGGGGTGAAAGGGTCCTCCCCGCTCCATAACTATAGCCGTATCCAGGAGGAGCGAGGTCATCCACCTAAAGCCTTGGGCCAGATATAATTGCTGGTAAAAAAAAAAAAAAGAGAACGAGAGAGAAAAGAACAGTGTTGATTTGCTTGGAGATATTTGAGAAGTGATTGTCCGTCTGCAAAGTGTGCAATAAGGAGCTGTAATTGGCTAGTGCCTGGGCTTGTTCAGAATAGGGTCCGGAGCCCTTCTAACAAGCTGTCTAAATGGGTTGTAAGCGGCTTTGTAAGATCATTTTACCCTCGTTTGTAATTTTGAACAAGTTGGGACACTGTGTTAAGAATAGTAAAACATGTTCACTTCCTTCACCTCGCTCATTAGAGGAACAAAGTCTGCTGGAAGTGAACTATTCAAACACTTTAGGTACACAAAGGAGTTTTCCCCAATTGGTTTATTCCCCCTGATTTTGGCTTTAAAGTGGTATAAACAGAACTAGCTCATTTCTCAGAGTTCTTTTATAATTTTTCATTGCAATGTCTCATCTCTAAGCACTGTTAATACATCAAATATATAGTAATTGTTGATGTAAAAGTTAATTAAGTTGACAATAAAGGTTTGTCAATATATACATTTCTTTAGATTAGTTCTGGTTCAACTTTATGTTATGTAACCAGAGGAGCATATAACTACATACACAGATACATACTGCAAAAAGTGATGGAAAATATATTGAAATTTGCTCAAATTTGGCAAAATGTATCTTCATTTGATCACATTCTGACTGCCTTAAAATAAGATTTGACAATGGGACAAGCAAAAGTATCTTGTTTTAAAAAGATACAAGAAATGTCTCCCTTCACTGCAAAAAAGTGTCTCCAAAAAAACAAGAAAGAATAGCTACTATTAGAGGTAATGTACTTGTTTCACGCAAAATGATCTGCTAGTGGATCATGATTTTTCCACTTTTTAAGATTTCTTAAAACAAGAAGAATATTAGTAACAAATGATATTACCTTAAGTATCTTCAGCCTGCATGAGTAAAAAAGTTTAAAAAAAGGTGTGATTAGAAAAATACTCTGAAATCAAGTGCACTATACTAGTCTATATAGTGCACTTGAAAAATAAAGCAAAATTTATTGAAATAAGACTAAATGGCTTTGTCCCGTTGGCAAATCTAGTTTTAAGACAGTCAGAATGTACTCAAATTAAGACAAAATCCACTCAATTCAAGCAATTATAACCTCATATTTTATCATTTTCTGCTGTGCATGTGTCCGGTGTTCTGTCGAGTTGGTCTGTCCTCGACGGGCATCTCGACGATGAGCTCCCTCAGCTGTTAATGATGTAACGCAAACCTGCGCATGCGCGTCTGAGGGCAGCCGAAGCAAACCAAGATGGCGGACATGAAGTCCGCGAATTGCTTTAAAAGTTAAAATAGGAACGAATTAAGACACAAATGTTTCTTTTAATGCAATTTGAGGTGAGATGTTGATGGTTCCGTGTTGTGATATGTGGGTTTTAGGAGTCAAAGTTTTGTGTAAAGTTTGTTTTAAGCAGTCCACTGCTCCTGTGAAACTACACTGCTACTGTGTGATAGCAGTCCCCGAGTTGACTGCTGCATACGTCATTTTACTGACGTAGGCCGATGACGCATCCTGTGACTGGTCTGTTGGGTTGATAATGGAAATTAATTGTGTTCAAACAAAATATTTAATTAGATAGATTTTTTTCCCCATCAACATTTTGACTCAAATTGCATTAATTTGTTCATATTTTAACTTTTAAAGCAATTCACGGACTTCATGTCTGCCATCTTGGGTTGCTTCGACTGCCATGAGACGCGCAGCGCAGGTTTGCATTACATCATCTGAGGGAGCTCATCTGGACGGGCAGACCAACTCGACAGAACGCCAGCATGCATATTATGAGACGATATGAACGCATAAAATCATCTGCCATTCTTTGGACATCAAGTACATACTTAGAGAAAAACATAATCTCTAATTCATATATTGCACAATGTCCCAATCTTTCCTCTGGATCATTACAGTACTGGGCTAATGTGTTCCCTTGTGATTTGACCCTTTATGCTTGAGTTCCTCATTGATCTTGTTGTGCGCTTATTTTCCTCCATTATACCTGCGATGTTATAATGGCAACAGTGTGTGTGTGTGTGTGTGTGTGTGTGTGTGTGTGTGTGCGTGCGTGTGTGTGTGTGAATAAAACAGCATCCTCAAACACCATGTACGGTACATCCTCTTCTATGTGTTCCACTATACACAAACGTGCTTCGAGTGGTTTGTTCCGTTTGCTTTGCTGTATTCTCAGATCTTCTCCAGCTCAATTACCAGCCGTCGTTCTGTCTGTTTGTGTGGATGAGGGAACTCTTATTGATTGTTGTTAGCTTTGAAGATGCACTTTCAAAGCAAAGCGATGTAAAGACCTGTACGTATATGTTGTGAAATACGTGTCAAATGTATAAGCCTATTACTGCAGACTCTAAAATGCGGTGCACAGGCCTTTAGTCTCGGTCGCTTGTTCGTTTGCAGAAGATTCGTTGTCAACAATGGTGGGTGGAGATGCTATAGAAATATGTGTTATCTGTGTTTTCGATGGCTACGTATTTACGTTTTGTCATTGGTTTTTTTATCAACCCAGTAAAACCATTCATAATGCAACTTACAGTATATACAGTCAACATGATGGCTGCTTTTGTATTGCATAGGTGTTAAATTGTGATTGATTTTTAAAAGAAAAGTTGCATGAAAGAAATTGTGTGCTTTAGAAATGCTGAGACGATCTATTATGAATGGGGTTGTTGGGTGCAGACTTATTCAGGGATGTCAAAACTCATTTTTCAGTGTTTTCATCTGTTATAAAAAAAAATCAAAAGAAGGGAAAAGATAATTGCTTATTTTTGATTATCCTTGGACACCATGGGCTGTACTGCTTTGGATTTATTTTCAAATCGCTGATAGCATTATAGTTAAGTGGAAGGTCTTTGCACTTGTGATGAATGGAGCAACTGAGGGGTTTTTACGTTTGTGAGAGATGCACTGACTACAGAGTGGAAAGGCTTCCTAATGAAGATTCTCTTGGGGCTAAACGCTATCTGCCAAATCTGAATGTAGTGTGGCTGTAATTTTCCCCCTGATTGCACTCTGCTCATGACAAATATCCCTACACAAATGTGCAGTAGATATCCAGCCAATAAGCAATTGTTTCATTTGAAACGATGAAGTGGAGATGACACAGGGCTGCAGCCTGAGCATTTCTTTCTCAGGTGACGGGTTTTCTCTGCATTCGTTTTTCACCCTCTCAAAAGAAATTGGTTTATATGACCCCTCTCAATATTGTAGTAACGAGCCAATACAAATAATGTCGGTAGAGAATGTACAAAAGGTTGTACAACATGTTTTATGTCGTCTGTAAACTCCTGGTTTCTCCTGTCTTTAGTGCACTGTGGTTAAAGGTGCAGTATGTCACTGTTCTGATGGAGGCCACAGTCTGGAGGAGAATTCACCCTATCATCACCAACATTTGCACATGGACATTTCCTGTCCTACGCATTTTTTAAAACATTCACTTTTATTCATTATACAGAAACATTTCCTTTGTGAGTATTATGTTTAAATGGTCCATGGAAACTAAAGGTTTCCAGCTCATCAGGACATGATGAGCTCAGGTATGTTTGGGTCAGATAAATCATGGTATAAGCACTCATTGCCTCTTATTGATGAAACTATTAAGAACATTTAGTTAGTGCACACGAGAGCAGCTGCTCATCAGAGTCCATCAGCCTGTGTGTGAGTGCATTTGTCTAATGCAGCTTGTGTTTACATGCACAATGGGGACAGTGATGTTCTAACAGGCTCCTCATTCACAGTAAACCACACTATGCTCCATAATCTCACGTAGTAAAGAAGAGATTACTCTCTGCAAATGATGTGAATTCCTTAATCCACAAATCAAACTTCGACACAATTTGTTTCGCTGCTAAAGCCGCAAGCTCTCATCATGTGAGATTTCATTGTTGGGAAATTATACGATTCTGAGAAATGCTGACTTGGGTTACATCTAGATTGGGAGAGATATGGAAAATAAATACATAAGTAAATAAAACCATCCTATTGTTGGGAATAAAATGTGCATGTAAACAGTGGCTAAGCCTGACCAGCTCTAACCTTGTATTTATGGATCATATCATTCTCCACATTTTGTCTCATTCCTCTGTGTTTGCTTCTTACAGTTTGATCTTGTGTGTTCACGTTTCATGTTTTGTTGCCAACACTGCACACAAATGAGGCGCCCTGGACCTGAGCCATTGATCCACTGCAGTCGTGTTGTGTAAATGTACATTACTGTGTGTCTCACGCCTCACACACTGTCGCCTCTCTTGTCTCCAGAACTCTGGCCACAAGGACTGTGATGTCCAGTATGCGGAGCTGGATACTGCAGCTTTGGCCTCCTCTCCCAGCCCGCGAAGCTCAGCTCACACTGGCCCTGGGGACCTTGTCGAGTATGCAACCATCCAGCCTAGCTCACACTAGCGCATGCCATTATAGGCCTTTCCCCTCAGACTCCAGGTACACAGACCGACCTCCTGCATCTTCACTCAACCCTCCTCCGTCCTCTTCATCTGTCGCCCGTTTCTGTTTCACCCTCTGCTGACGGAGACTCTGTCAAATCTTTCTACACCACAGTGATCTTTGAGAGTCGTCACAAATGAAGCTATCAATAACTAACAATAACAACTAGTCTATTGTTGTGAGAAAAGTGTGAAATGACGTATACATGCCTTCAACAGACTGCTTCCTCACAGCACTCTCTCTTCCTTTCGCTTTCTCTTTCTGAGCATGACTTCTTCGGTCATAGCAGAGCATTTCCCTCGTGTGAATGAAGTAGTGAGTCTATGAACGCATGTGTTCTTTGCATGATGCATTGATTTGCAAAATGTCAAAGATGCTGATGACATGAAACATATTCAGCAATAACCACCTGACATAGAACAGTTCAAATACAACTTAACAGCTGTATTTGTAACGTATTCTATGCAAATGTGCAATAAAAATAGTTTGCCATATGATTAGAAAGTAAGAAAGTCTATCTATTTATATAGCACATTTTTCCAGACCAAGATCACCCAAAGTGCTTTGCAATATTCAGAAACTAAGCAAGTTTTACAATGAAACAACATTAAAATGTGTTTCTGGAGAAAAGTTTCATCTCATCAAGTCTTCAACCTAAACTGTGCTTTATATGTATTGTTTCATGACGTCTGAAGTACTTTAATGATGCTGACCTGATGCATAACAAACACATCCGTAGTTCACAGGTGTTCATGGAGAAAAATCCATAAAAAAAGAAGAAATTGTTAGCTGAAATTACTGCTGTTATCATCGATTTAAATGATCAATGCGAGAAAGTCAAACAAAAATTCGAGAAAGTCAAACAAAAACATAAGGCACATGCGTCACGGCAAGAGATGGTTTTTTTCTAGCTTTCAATCAATATTAGATGTGCCATTTTTGTTTTAATTGCATTAAGAAGGACTTGAGTGACTATGGAACTGTACTTTTGGTACGATACTTATTTGTACAGGCACAATGCAACTTTTTATGTGGAAAATGTTTTTTTTCAAACACTGTGATTGAAATTTAAAGACCCCATACTGACCACTCATACAGCCACTGGGTCACCACCACAGACTGTAAATAAGAAGGTCAAACATGCAAACATATACAGTACACTGTTTCTCACATATAAAAAGGTGGCATAATATCATAATTGAGAAAGATATATATCCGTTTCACAATAAATGTTTTTTCTCTGAGATGGAAACATGTGGGACAAAAAAAAACGGTGATTTAAGCAAACTGATGATGTCAGAACTAAAGCCCATGATCAGCAGCTTGAGAAACGGCAAATAAACAGGAACCTGACGGCAGTAGCTTTATATAGATGTAAATGTTTGAAGAGCACTTTAATCCACTTTCTGACTCCTGTTCAATCAGAGGTCACAGCTTTGAGTAGATCCAGTGTTTTATCAGATTTTCTTCAAACAGCAGCATTAAACCTATGTTAGGCAACGTCCCACATGTTTTTGCTGTACATTCCCCAGTCTATATGAGCCGTATTAGATAGAGGCAAAGGTGGAGTGCATAATGTTTTTTTTGTTTGTTCCAACAAAAAGAGTCTGAAGTACAATTTTGTGAACAAAGCAGACCACAAAATGCTGTCTTTAGTTCAATAGAAAACAATATATATTTTTCTAATCATAAAAAGTGAGTCATAATTAGCACGTGCCAAGAGGCAAAACAAGAGGGAGGGGACTAGTGATTCTATTTCACGGGTTGCGGTTTGTAAGTAGGGTACCCCAACTTTTATGTTCATTGAAATAATCTGAAATATTTGTTCTGCATTAATTTTCAATAACAGGACTTTTGATTGTCCTGAAAACCTGCTTGGCCGGGGAGAAGGAAGGATTTGATTAAAGTGCATATATAAGAGAATACGTATCTCACACAAATAATGATGTTTCCACAGGGAAATAGTTATAATGGTTTAGTGGCAGTTTGTGGAAAAATTATGGGTAGGAAATAATGCTGAGTTCTGAAATGGATCTCACCAGGTATGTCATCAAATTCAAAGACTTATAGAGCGCAATAAAATAACTCGGTTAACAATAGGACTCCCAGAATGTTGAATCTAGAATGTTGACTTCTATTCAAATCAATGGGATTCTGAAAAATTCCCAAAAAAATGTGAGTAAAGTGTACCTACTCAGTTTTAATAAGTTATAAAAATTGAAATACAGAAAAAAAATCTGTGTTGAAAGGCGAATGCTTGGTAGCAATTAAACATTGTGTTGCTATGGTAACTGAACTAGAAGCGGAGTAATTACGCTTCCAAAATTAAAAGCCGTCAAATTGACATAGAAAACTTTAAAAGCGAGGAACATGGATTGTATTATTTCGTTAAGTTTGAAAGTTAAGTACACCAGCTTAAGCAAGTTATCTTCAACTAATTTTAATTCTGTCAATATTTCCTACAAAATACCAGAGGACACCCACAATATACGACAGTATCCAAGTTAAGCCCTGGTCATGTTTCTGGCCTTTGTAAAAGTTGTAATGAGGACTTTACTCGTCTCGTATCATCCACAATTTTAGTTTTTAACAAATACAAACTGTAACTACTCCTCAGAGCTGCTTTCATTTGCTCTGAAATCTCAAAGGTCCTTTTTCGATGAGCAGAGAAATGAATAGCTTGACAGCGCAGAAAATGTTCTTCACCTCAGCCAGAGATGCTTCGTTCTGACCTGGAATAAATACAACATTCAAATATTTGTGTCCACATTTCCAGTGTTTTGTCCCAGAAGGTCTGACGGAGACACAGCACATGCACAAACAGTGTCTGGGATATTTTATAATAACCACACATCATTTTCCAAAAGCGTTTAGCTCTATGCTTGCCAAAATACAGTAACGTTGATGTTAGTTGACACAATGTTACTGCTACACACAAGACCTTATGAAATCAAAGGCTGGTATTTTAAAGCTGGAATACATAGATTTTATACTTAATTGTTGCTTCTTTATTATGCTTAAAATTGGCTACACTGGAAAAAAAATATATATATATATAAATAAGAAAACAAGTAAAATACTGCTTAAAATAAGACAAATTATTTGCCAATAGAATAACTATATGACTTGACAAGATTTCTGAAAAGAAGAAAATAATACTCGCCCCAAATGACTTTATTCTATTATAAAAACATAAATTACAAGTGTTATTTACTTATTAATTATTTTTTATCTAAACAAATTGTATCAAAACAAGAAAAGTTTTCTTAAAATAAGAAAAAACTTAAAACAAGCATTAACTGCTCAGACTTTTCTTCTCTAATAAGATTATGAAGTATTATTACCTTAACTAGTAAAAACAATCTTAAAATTTTCCATGAAAAAATAAGCATAATTTAGGTTATTGGTAGTAAAAAAGCACTTTTTTGTGCTTTGTGCTTCTCATTCCCACTGTTCTGTAACCGGTGACGCAACACTGACATTTCACCACTCTGGATAAACAACAAGACATTAACTTTGTATTAAAACCATGTGACAGTTCCACACAGCCAATCAGCTCTCAGCGCAAAGCATCAAATAGTGACTTTCCAGAGCCCTGTCTTACAAGTTTTCTAATAATATGAATACGGTGTGGTCGTATTTGTTCACAACATTTCACAAGACTCTTTCTGTTGGTAGCTACAACATGTACTATTTATAGAAACATCCCCAGCTTTGACTCATGTGTAATCATTGTACATTCATTCCCAAGTGCACTTTGCTTATATTCTGTTTCCCATCTTTTCCCTGACCATCTACTTTTCATTCTCAAACAAAATAACACTGATTTCCTCATTCATTCACTCATTCATTATTGTTTTTGTTACCCTCACCACCATTACCTTTAGACGTGGGATCGTCGTCCTTGTAGATGTAGAGATGGTTGACGATTATGCGTAAGTCTCACTTCATCTTCAAATCCCTTTCTGTGTCCATGCCCTGTCTTTGTCAGCATCTTGTCACTGCTATCAGATGTGACAGTCGAATAGAATGTGTGAAACATGTTTTAATAAGCATAACACTGTTACATTGCCGTTTGCATTCGTTTACCCAGATCTCTAGAAAAAAAATTGGACAATGTGCCTTGTATTATTCTCTTGAGGCGACATCTGTGGCCAGCAGGGGGCTCTAAAGCTCAAATCAAATGTGTTGACCAGAGCAACACAGGCATCTTTCTCCAATCCTCTATTTTACATTCATCCCCAGTTGCTTTGGCTGTTTTTAAAATTGTGTAAATAATTAATATTGTGAATTGTGATTCATTTGAACACATTTGTCTCACATGGAAATGAAAACACAAAGAAGCAGTTTGAGGCCAGAGGTATTCTGTGTGACCCGCGTGCACACCAAGAGAAATCATTGCATTTGAAAAGTGAATAACGATTTTAATATCATTCGGGGTTCGATGCTGGCTATATTTGTTTAACAAAGCATTCTGATTTAATAAATGTGCCATTGCAACTGGGAAAACGAAGCATTACTTTTGTCTTTCGTATGTTCTTCTGCAGTTTCTGCAATAGTATGCTTTTGGTGGATATTTACTGTGTTGACCATTTCCTCCGGCAGCAACAGAGTTTAAAGAAACACGTATTGCATAAATCGAATGCGCCCGATTTGTTTGGACTTGTGCTCTAGCTCTGAGAGGCGTGTGCGATTGTTCCAGGAAAACCATTGACTGCGAGTGTGACTTTGCTAAAAAATGATGTATTTATTGAGTAAACCACTTATTAACCTCTCTGCAGTTCACACAGACTTGCAGCGCCGCACACTAATACGCCGATCTTGGATGTGAGCCCGTTTCCAGACAAATGACGCCCTGTGGTGACCCTTCAGTGCACGTTTGAGTATCTTCTCTCTTTTTCTTTTTCTCTTTGCAGGACCCCGGGAGATGTCCAGAGGAGCTGCTGAATCCGGCTGAGTACATCAACTACCAGCCCGTGTGCAACATGGGGGAGTCCTACCCCGAGCCCCCGTCCGCTCAGCCTTACCCTCCTGTCACCTACCTGCCTCAGCACCCGTACGCCCAGGAGCCGCCCGAGGAGCCCATGTACTCCAACACCAGCTACCCCGTCCCCCCGCCGCAAGTCCCCCCTTATAAGTTCCCCAAGGAGCAATCTGTGTGATCCAAGATGGCCGACCGACACAGCACTACAAAAAGTGACAAAAAATAAGTTATAAAGGCTTGAATTAAGCAAAAATGTATCTTTAATAGAGTACATTTCAGCTGTCTTAAATCAGGATTTTCCAAAGCAAGAATGTCCCAAGACAGTCAAAATGTACTCAATTCAGGCATAGACTGTAAAAGGAGTGGACTAACCAAATACTGACGTCACCCATGTTGTTTGCCTGAGATGGAGAAAGCCACTTAGAGCCAGCTCTAACAGGCTCCATGGGTGGGAATTTGGAGCCAAATGACGTAGGTAGCAACGGCCGAGCAACCAAGAGCCAATCAGGAGGTTTGTCATCAGGGCTGGATGTACAAAGACCGATAATGTAATTTGTAAACCCAGATATGAGCCCTAACAATTAATTTATAAGACCAAGATCATGTAAAGCGAACCACATATTTTTCAAACCTAAAATGGTGACTGTGACACAAACTGTTTACTTAAATGAATGGAGCAACTTTGAACACTCGGCTATCAGGTTGCATTGAACTAGCTGGTTAGCATTGTCCATTCCGAAATACAGCCTATGCTTTCAAGATGAAAAAAAAAACACTTGATTCAAGCTTATATTACTTTATATTTTATCATGTTTTGCAGTGTGCGCCTTTCTTTGTAAACCTATGTATCGTACACTCCACTCGCTCAGCACTTGTGATGTTAGCCTAGCCCTCACCTAGCCTAAAGGGATCTATCAGTCTCTTCCTGCATCCTCACCTTTTTGACCTTGCCAACCGTTGGAAACCTGTGTACAGATTAATATGCCACTAAATCCAAACCACTTGAGATTATTTATATTTACTTAAAAACCCCCCTCAGTAATAGTGAGATTTTGTAGCATATTTGTTTGCTATGAGTTTGTATGTCAATCATATGCTTGCTTCTGCGAAAGTACTATGTGTGATTAAGATGTATAGTTGGGGAAAAAATACAGCTGTGGTGTGTAAACTATCAATTTGAAATGGCATGGACAACCCCTTTAACGACAGGCTTGTAATATACACATGCAAATTGGCAGTCTCTTCAATTTTAGAATGCTCCATGATGGCTGTTGCTGTGTACTGGACATGACACATTATTAGAAGCGAATGTTGTTCTAGATAGCCACTAAAAAATAAAGGGCTAACAATCCAACATAAAAAACAATATTATCGGCTTATTATTATCAATATTATTAGTGTTATTATTATTATTATTGTGATTATTAATATTATAACTATTATTATTATTATGCACTAGTTGCCAAAGAGTAGTATTGCCCATTCATCATTCAGCTGCAGTTGTCTGAAAACTCATGACAAAATGCTGTATTTCCATATCTGTCTGTAAACATGACGGTTGGTTCATGGTTTTTCTTGCACTGTAGATCCTTTGTCTTTGTGGAGCCATTAGAAATTGCAGGTGAAAAGTGAAGACAATCACATGGGCTGTCCTTAAACATAAAGTCACATTTAGTTAGTTTTAGTTGACGTTTAAAGGCATAGTATGAAGGATTGACTTTCCGCTACATATTCCAATCTTCCATATTTTAGAATGTCTACTGTAAACGAAATGATCATCTCTTGCAGCAAAATACTGTACGTAAAATGTATATTTTGATTTGTTTTATTATATTTGTTATTCTATGTTTACATGCTTAGGAATGTTACGTGTTTGTCCTATTCACACATTTCCATGATAATGTTTAATTAATGATCCACTTTGAAGGCAAATCTCAATTGGTTTGCCTGTTTACGGTGCAACAACGTGATTTGTTTACACAAAATCCTACATATTGTGCCTTTAAAATAAATACAAAACGCTTTTGAGGACACCCACCTGTTCAACATATTTAACTATTTTTTCATTACGCTTTGTACTTATTATATAGTCTATAGATTTTCAGTGGACACTGAAGAGAATAGCTTGCTACAGTATTTTTTTAGAGAATGCTTAGATGTAACTACAGCACTCGGCTTATTACACTGTGACTGTTCCGATGAGACCATGCATAAGCTAATGTTCAACCAGCCAATTTTGGGATACCGCCTCCTACACACAAAAAGCCCTCTAGACGCCGCAAATTTGCATCCAAACTGAAAGTTCACATCCTTTTGCCATGTCAGATGTACGTTTGGGGGAAGAAAAAAATAATGTTTTTTTTTGAGTGTTTGTGCTGAATAAATGTAACAAAATAATATGAATAATAATGATGTTGGAGGTGTTGAAGGTTAATTGTGGAGTAAAACTGTGAGACTTTCCTGTGATCACTTTGTTGTCATGCAATGGCTCAACTTGTGTGCTAGCATTTAGTTTGTTTGACCAGTGCGCTCTGGTTATTGGAGGACTTTGTTATTGTTGTACCTACTATGGGAAAAAAACACACACATACTTGTATTTTTGTGACACTTAAATACATCCTTTCTATTTTTATTTTATTTTGTATTCTTGTGCGTGTGCTAAATCAGCATTATGCACATTATGTTCCTTATATCACCTTTTTTGATTTATTGAGAATCCCGGTTGTTACTGCCATGCTCACCTTTTGTTTTTTGTACTGAATTTTTTAACATGTGTCTATATAAGCCTGAAGCACATTTTGTTTTGACTTGTTTGTAAACTTGTGAAGGATCCATTCTGAAACAATTATTTTAGCGGTAGTTCATGTCAATACAGGAACTTATTTTTTGTTGAACTTCAGTGTAAATATTAACAATGTATAATGTGTGGAAAAATACAAGTACAGCCGTCTAACATTAAACTTCACAAACTATTCATCTAATTTGTTTTCAGTCGTCTTTGAATTTCTGAATGTATGATTTCAAATGTCAGTAGTGTATGAGAGACCTGGGAAACGTATTCTTCAGCTACGCAAATGCAATGTTCCCACCTGAACAGCAGGGGTTGCTACTCAAGACTGGCTGTCCCATGACAAAGTGTCTGTTTCAGTGGATGTAATATCTGTCACCTTTTTTTTGTCTGCGGGTCTTATTACATGGATCCATGGACTTGGAGTTGGAGCGTATCATGAGGGTCGCTGAGCCCCCTGTCAGACCGACTCTCAACTCACACCTCAGGGAGAGCTTCTCCCAGGTCCCAGAGGAAGGAGATATTGAGTCTGAGTGGACCATATTCTCCACATCGGCTATAGAGGTGGTTGCAAGGTCTCTGGTGCTGGTCCTGGATGATATCATGCTGTCCGGGCTTTTACAGACGCAAAAACCCAGAACTGTGAGGCATTCTGGGTTCTAGCAAAGAAATTCTAGCAAAAAGTCCTGTGCCTTGAGACGGGCGGTGGAAGGAATCCTTTCAGGTTCTTCTCAATCGTGTCGTCACCACCTTCAATTTGGAGGCAGAGGCTGAAGATCTTTGGACATATTAATTCCATCTCCCTGGCTGAAGTCACTGAGGTTGTTTTACTATGCTTCGCGTGACCTACCAGGGCTTCCTGCGACATAGACACGTTGAGGCATTGCATAACACTGGAGCTACACAGCATGAGTAGTTCTACAAAAGATAGGTCACTGACTAACATGGAGCTTAAGGGCTAAACCAGAAAACAACATTTATTACAAGGCTAAATGCTAAGACTGGGATAGCATAGAGGCCAAGAAGTGCACATAGCCAGAGGACAAAGTAGTAAGTAAACAAGGACTCCTTTTAAGCTTAGGGCCACCTAGTGGCACACTTTAGCAACTACAACACTATCACAAGTATGATTTTCCTTCATAAATCATTGGTTGTTTATAGGAGATGGACACAGTTATATTTGATAGTAGTATGTATCATTTACAGAAAGCATTATGCAAACCAAATTAGGCTTTTTTAACATTTTGTGGGAAATTATATTTAAGTACAATTATGCAAATTCTAAGTTGTGTCCCCTCTTTGCATCTTCTCTGAAGAGTTGCAACACGGAAGCCTCAAAACAACTCAAGGATACGAAAGCTTTCACAGAGATCCAAGCTTTCAGTTTGAACTATGCGGAACATTGTGAGGAATTGCAAAACCACAGGCATAGTTCTAGTTAGTGCCCGAAGAGGAAGACCAAGACAAATCACAGATAATCAGAGGTGCAGGATGGTGAGAACAGTCCAGGTCAACCCACAGACCAGCTCCAAAGACCTGCAACATCGGCTTCTGCAGATGGTGTCAGTGGGCATCGTTCGTCTCTTCAGCTCAATTGAGGTATGCTGAAGCACGTTGATGAGCCAGCTACATTCTGGAAAAAGACTGATGATACTAATATTGAGTTATTGGGTAAAACAAGCATTATGCTCGGAGGAAATAACCACAGCATTCCAAGAAAAACAGCTCCCTACAGAAACGTTTGGTGTTGGTTCCATCTCGCTGTAGGGCCTTCTGTCCAGTGCAGGCACAGGGAATTTTGTTGAAGCTGAGGGGCGCATGAATTTTACTCAACATCAGCAGATTCATACCACTCTACTTCCCTGCGCCAGGATGATCGCTGCTTTTTACAGGACTTCAGTCTCTTCATAAACTCCACTTTTGGAAACCATGTAGGTTTTCCAATCACTATAGCTGGATATTTGAAAAAAAAAAAAGGAAGATTCTATGAAGCTACAATGATTCATACTGCCGAGAATGTTCAAAATATAATTAAGAATTTCACCCTGCTCTGAACATTATTGATTCCATAGGATTTTTTGGTTTTTGTTTTAAGGTTATGCACAGCCGGGAAGATAACCTCACACAACAAAACGCTTCAACAGTGGCTGGTGTTTATTTGATGCAAATCAATTCTATCTCATTATAGTGCAATAAGTTAGACAGAGCAATTTCCTGTGAACACTTGACCTTTTATATTCAGCTCATTAACATCATCTGTGTCTCTCTCTGAGTTATATGTCCAAATACATCCATGAAATATTTGATCAAACCGCTTTCTTTAAAATCTACCCGTTTTCTGCACCGCTAAAACAGCCATTTCATTTTTCATTATGTCCATTATATTTGTG